TCAAGCGGTTTCTAATTTGCTTGCCGCTGGCTGTAGCAAATTCTAATTTATTTGCAAACTATGTAACGCACTTCCCCCTCCATTCCCCTTTTTCCCCTCTTTTCCCCACCCCTGGATTTTCCGACCCCCCAGCGGGAAATTGCAACAGCAAGGGCAAAGGTCGCAGCAGGAGCAGGTGTGTCTGCTCTGCGAGTTTTCGGCAAAGCGTTGATTAAAATAACGCCCTTTGGAAACAAAGCGTCTCGGGGAAAAATAAATAAAGTGTTCCAGTGGCGCCGAGGGGGGTAAATATGTTTTACAGGTGTTGAATACTTTGGTAAACTACTGAAATTAAAGTGCTGCCAAATTAATGAGATCAAGATTGGAAAAACAATGCCAAACGAAAATATAGTACGGTAATATTTTTATAATTTTATGTATCGATAAACTCAGTAATTAGTGTTATGTTCACATTGTTTGGCTGAACAAAAAACTGCAACATTAATGGTAGGAGTATATAATCTATATAACATATAATGATCATCCCATATTTGCTTCCATATACAATCATGAAAAGATTTCAGTTCAGATAAAGCGCATTCACTTGAACATAATCCCCAGTTAACTTTCCATTGGGTATTATCTAATAACAATGCATCTCGATACTGCATTAACTTGGATATTTGGCATCCCATCAGGATCCGTCTGCTCAAATGTCAATTACAAGTACTTAATAACGGATATAGGGAAGTCAGCAATATCGGGGCCATAGCAAGTTGACTATGCAGGATATTTGTAAGCCTTCAAGTCTCGTTTTAGGACAGACAAAGTCCTCTCTTGTGCGTTCGTATAATGCAGAAGACCTACCGAAATGCCTATCCATTCAGTCAACATCAGTCAGATTATGTCCTCATCTACACACACACACACACACAAACAAACAACTACACACACACTAAACGAAAAAAGGAACCCAGAGTTGAAGTGGAGTTAAAACATTTTCGAAAAGACTTAAAAACTTCAGCTTGCTTGCTGCTCCTGTTTGTTGGACGGAAAAAGTCGAAAATCAACGAGGCCTAGGCTCAATGCAATCAATGGCTTAAACCAGAGCAAAATCGGTCCGGAGAGCGGGATGGCTGATAACAACAATAACGGCAGCAGCAAAACACGAATAAAAACTCCAACAACTTGTCAAACAACCAGGCCACTTTACACAGATTGAGATTGCAGGCAGCTGAGAATTTCATAACAATTTCTGCTTCTGCTGGCAGACTGGGAGACTGGCTTTTGGCCCGGCACAAAGTAAACAGTGTTTGGGCCTAAATCTATGCAGTGCATTTTCACCAGAGGAGGAACGGGGATGGGATGGTAAAAATCTTGCTGATTGAATGGCTGCTCCCACTCAAGCTGTCTACCTGGATCTTAGCCGGTATCCAAGCAACAAATTGACAAAAATTGAATAAAAATAATGCCGGGCCTGGCTTGGCTTTCCCAGGATTTTGCATGCGTATGTATTATAGTATAATGGTTATGGCTTGAGCCAGGACAACCACTAACACCGCCACAGCCACTGCCAGCCAGCATCCTGAAAATATGGCCAGGTGGCTTTAGCTTATGCAATCCTGCAAATGGAAATATGTTGTATATATTTATCGCTCGCATCGCCTGCTTTTCAAGTAATATGGAATAGCAAAAAGTTGCGCTAGGCAAACTCGATTGCAACACTTGCACAGCCAACCAACTGACACAAGCGCACCCCATCCACTCACACACATGTTTTCAGGGCACACTGGTTGGGAATTTTATAATTTATTGGAATTTTTTATATGATTTATAATACAACATATAGTATTTTTTTTTTTTTTTAGTTATACCCAGACTTAACGTATTAAACCTGTATTAATTATTTATTCTAAAGAGTATTAAGGTGTAGGGAACCACTTCACATGATTGTATTTTTATTTAAATAAATACATTTTTGTCCCACTGTGCAGTGCAATGCATAGTGAACATTTGCGCCTACAAGCGGGCAATAGATTTTGCAATCTGCTCTGTATTTGCGCACATGATTTTTCTCACTCAACGTGCGTTTTCCACGATGTTGTTCCCTTTTCCGCGATGTTGTTCATTTTGTTGTTACTCGTGCTACTTATCTTTGCTTTGGGAAAAGGGATGAGTAAGTATTTCACGAACTTTAAGCCTTTATTATCCGCGGTACATAACAACTTTTGAATAACTTTTGCCGTTTTTTTATTTATTAAGCAGAGTCTGGTCTATATATCAGATCTTCTGAAAATTCTTTTTGTTATGATTTTATTCTTATAATTTTAGAACAAATGTTAGGTTAAAAACCCTATAAATAAATATACCTGCTTTACCAACAGAACTTGTTTTTAGAAATCTCTCTCTAAATACCTTTGAAAACCCCTGAGGACCTCGTTAAAGGATATTCTCTGGTCGTTATATCTCTCCATGTTTGATTTGTCCGCAGGTTGTGTGAAGGAGTGGCCCCCGCAGGATGGTTTGTGAAATGTGCATATGGAAGGTGGCTGATGGTGGCGGGGCCACAGGACAGGAGCTCCAGGACCCAGATGCCCGCCGGTGGGTGTGACGTGGCCGACGGCCGGAGTGGCATCATAATGCTAATGATATTTGCCTTAAAGAATGGCAGCGGAGTCGGGTTACAGGTTAGCAGCTGCTGCTGGGGACTTTAGTTGATGAAAAACTCTTTAGAAATGCATTAGTAATTTTCCATGGCCCGTCGGTTGGCCAGGTCCTTCGTCCTTCGTCCTTCTGCTGTCCCTCCCACGGTTGTGTTTTTGTTTTCACAGGCTTTCACAGTCAATTGACCAATGAAATGTGCAGAGGAATGAAGCGTGGCTAATGTGAAATTGGCGATAGTAGGGCCCTTTTAATGGTGCGATGATTTGGATTGCCTGTATCATAAAAGCCATGTGATATATTCAGCAGATTCTAGATATTTTTTTTGCAGTTTTCATTAATTTAAAACTCAAGCTGTCATTGCCATAAGTGGTTGCAAAGTTATTTAAAACTTTAGTTAATTATGGCCAGAAGGCAATTTCATTAACGGTTTTAAATTTTAAACATTCGTTTTGCTATCATCAATAAAATTATACAAATAATTTTAAGAACCAATTTAAAATCATTCAATTACAACTAAAGCCATAATAATAAGTCAATTTTGATATCTTTTTTAATATCAATTTTTCAATATCACATAATGATTATTTGTGTTTCATTATTCAAATTAAATGCATTTATAAAAGCCGAGTTAAATTTGAAAAATGAATTAAAAAGCTTTGAAAGCTACAAATAAATAAATTACTAAATGGGTTCCACTCGCATTTTAATGTATTATTAAAAATCAAAAACAAATTTTAATATGCAAATTACAAGCGTCGAAACAAATTCTAAGTAATAATCGTAATTGACAGCTCATTTCATTCGAAAGATTAAATAACAGTGCTAAAAGCACATTTAATCCCGTCACAATAATATTTTAGGATGCAAATAAATACGAGCAACTAGCAAATATTGAAAAAGCCAATGGGAAAAGGTCATAATTGACAGCTCATTTGATTTGAATCATTTAAAATGGTATTTAAATTGAATTCAAAGCCATCCAAATCTGCTTCATATTAATAAACAGCAGTGATAATTTCTATGAGCTGTGTTAAATGGCCAATGGGGGCGATTGGATTTAATTTGTAGATATTTGATTGTATAAATATATTTTAAATTTAAAATACAATCTGAAAATACATTTTTAATAATTCATATAAATTAAACAACAGTTTTTTAGCTGGTTAAGAAATATAAGAACGCAAGAAATATGTTATTTTGCAACATGTTATTGGTTTTTTTGCCTTTTCAGCATTTATGTGCCTCATAAAATTTCTGCTTTGTCGTGATGCAAGTGGCTTTTTGCAATTGCTGTCGAGACATAATTAAATCATGAGGGTAAGGAAAATGTCGAATGGGTGAGCCACCCCCCCAAACCCCACCAACACTCGATGCCAAGTGGAATCGTGATAATCATGTAGTCGATGCTGATGGCAAGGGCGTGGATAATCGTAACAATTATCAGCGATGAGCCTGCGACACTTGACGACAAACATTGTCACGCTTTCTGCCCCCCAACCAGCCAACCTTCCACTCGAACTTGCCCCTTCCCCTCACCCTTCTCCTTTCCCCTTCGTAAAATCCCCAACCTCCAAGGGGGCGATAAAATTTTGTTGCCTTGAGTAACGCTTAACGATTGTGTTCATTGACTTTGCTCTAACGATTTTGTTGAGTAGGCTAATGTGTCAGGACGGGCCCTATGCCTATTTTAGCCACTTTCCGTCCATTCCGTGCTTTTTGGTAACTGGGATGTAGTAGTAATAGTAGCAGTAGTAGTGTGTGTGCGTGTGCCGACTGGGGTTATCGAGCTTATCGGCCAATAATTCCCTGATAGCGCATTGCGCACATTCGACTGGCCCCCATGAATCAGCCGTTCGATCCGTGAGCGTGATTTGATAACTGGCATTTCGGCTTTATCTCTCCGCCTCCGCCCACTCGACGTGACATACCAATAAATAAATTCGTTTAGTGTAGGGTACTTCAGATTATCATGGAGGTAAAGGTATTTAAATGAGTTATAATACTACTTAAACAGCTGTACTTGACATAATATTTAGAAAGCCTTTATGAATTTTATAAAGTTTTATAGATTTAAAATTTTAAAAATTCTAAACTTATCCTAAACCAATTAAAAATATACTTCAGAACTTTAACTTTAAATCTACTTTCCCTTGTAGTTTATTTAAAAGTCACCATAACTCATTGGCTTTCCTCGAGCGCAAAATTACCTATTAATAAAACCATACATTTCGGCATTTTATTGCTGTGTCACCCGGCTTATCAAAGTCAAATTGAAATCGCTATAAAAGCACGGCAGTCAACTCTGTTCACTTAGTTGCAGAAGCTTCGCGGAATCGATGGGCTTTGTGCATCGCAGGGCAACTAATAGTATTAATTAAAATCATTGAACAAGCCGAGCTCGGCGAATAAATTATAATAATTGACAGTGCGCGAGCGATAAATAAAAAAAGGCAGGAATAAATACAAAATAATGCCGAACATTGTCGCAATGAAACTGAGCGCCTGCTATCCGATCCTGGCGGGTGAAAAGGGTCACAAGGACGAGGCGAATATCTTGGTGCTGGACCAATTGGCACTGCAGCAACAAATCACAGCGAATTTCATTTTCCATGCGATTTCGAACTACAAAAAGACGCCGTCCGAGCGAAAAACCCTGGACTTCATTGCCAAAAAATGGCTGCAGATCCAGATGCTGTGGCGCGAATTCCGGCTGAGGGATAAGCAAATACGGCGGCGCGGCCACAAGGATGTGCACTTCCTGGAGCACGGCTACTTCCAGCAGGAGCTCTTCGAGCTGGTCCACGAAAAGTATTCCACGGCCCGTGGATGCCTGAGTCGCGACAAAAGAAACCTACGGCCGTAGTTTGTTTGTTCAGCCCACAAGGACAAGGGCCCCAATAAAAAAGCATAAAAGGAAAAGCCTGAAAGGGAGCGGCAGGCAAAAGGATGAGCCAACCAAGAATCGGACGTGTGAAAACTTATTCCCCCGAAAAACACGCATTTCATACGGGATTGTGTGAGTGTTTGTGTGTGTGTGTGTGTGTACACACTGCACTGAGTCAACAGTTCTCATTCCCTGAGATGATATCCGTCAACAGCGATTCGATTTCCATCTCCATTTCCATTTCTCCATTTGGAAATACCAATACCAATACCAATACCAATAGCAATGGGCAATCAATCTGACTGGACGGCCAATGATTGATTGCACTCGGCGAATGCTTATCACAATTATTATGATTTGCCAAAAGGTTATACCAGTCATGCTGATGACCTCCAAATGAATTGCTATCCCCCAAGGACATAAAGATTTCTAGGTGCACATGTCCTAGTCACCCTTGAAATGAAATTGAAATTTGAATAAAATGCTTATTAAACTTTACGCCTTCAATCAGCAATAATCAGGTAGACACTTCTAAAAATATGACCAGTTCGCTGGGGAATTCCTAGTTGGGCAACCGAAAAAACACTTGAGCGATTATATCAGCGATTAGATAATGAGAGCCATGGGAATTCCGTTTTTGAGTGGGGGAAATGCTTAGATGATTACGCAGACCTCTTACAGCTGTCTACTATGACTAACTTAATTTACTACTCGGCAATTATCTTGTTTTTGGCCAGTTCTCTTGCGGAAAAAACAAAGAGAGAATTAATTTCCCTAACCGAATAAAGCGCTAAACAGCTAATAAAAATTGACCACACACACAAAAACAACCTAATTCGATAATTTGTTTTAGATGCCGAAACGAAAGAGCAAAAAATCCTGGCAGTTGTATCAACGTTTTGGCCATGGCCATCGGCTTATATCTAATTTAGCGCGATTAAGGGAGCTGTGAAAGAACCTAACCAAAGAAAAAAAACAGCGAAACAAAATCGAGGGCAGGCCACTAAACTGAATTTATGGGTGCCGGCTGCTGGCAATATCCCCAATCCCCAATTCCTATCCCAAGGTGCCGCCGGAAGGAAACCCGATGTTGACAAGAATAATGTCCTGATGGCGGGATATTTGCAGATGTTTTTGGGGGAAAGAGAAGTCCTTTTGCTTAGGAACACATGAATATTTTTGGGGATTTTGATAGCATTAAATGTTTTGTTAAATACAAAAACTTTAATGCAAATTGCAGCTCAGAAATTAAAACCTCATCTTCAAATTTTGTTTCAAAAACAATTAAATAACTATCCTTTTAAAAACTTTACCTGCAATGAAAGCAAAGTTTATTCTGCAGTAGCCTATGCAAGTTGTTTGATTTTTGAAAACTTCTAGGATTTGTATAAGCCAAATATTCTTTTTTAAGCTTTATAGGTTTTAAGAAAAACTTTTATGGAATACTTTTTAGCTTAAACATAAACCCAATGAGTTCTTAGGTTTGTTAAGTTAACTTGGTTTACTTATTAGACAAGAGTAGTGCTCAAGGAGTTTCAAAAAACCGGCTTTCAAACTAACTGGTAGCAATAATGTGTAATACAATTTTTGGCTAAACTCCTCCAACCACCTCCCAAACTCAATTGTAATCTTCTGCGGCCCAAACCCGCCGCCATAAGTCCAACAATCAACCCAAATTGATGTACATTACAGCCGGGCCGACCCCTCGTGATTCGATGCCAAATAGTCCGCGGCGGAGGAGTAAGAAATAAATTTATGTAAAGCAAAAACAAGGTAGACAGACCCCCGCATCGCGGCAAATAGGCCTTTTAAATGCCGGGTGGCGGGAAAATGAGGCAAAATGGGAGGGAAAGTGTGGGTGGGAACAAAACAAAAAAAAAAAAGAGAAAATAAAAACGTAGCATATTTTAGAGGCTGTGCGCACTTTAATAAGATTTATTAAGTCGCGAAGGACCGCGGCGAGGACCTCGACATTGACTGGGTCCTTGGCAGTGTCTTAACCAACACAAAAAACAACGCAAATAGCCCGGCTTGAATGGGAGGTGGAAAGTGGGAGGTGGGAGGTGGGTGGGATTTGGGCCAGAATGTACCGCGCTGTAAATATTTGTTACTCAACTCTTGCCGCTTGCCGCTTGCCACAGTTTGCGTTTTGTGTTGTCGGCTGTTTGTTTTCTTGTTTGCGTCTTGCTCACAGCTCCACCTCGGCCCCCTTTTTTTCGCCCAGTGTTTATTTTGCAGCTAATAAAAAGTTGATGTGTTGCCTCTGTTCTTGGCTGCTTGCCTTTTTTTGTTCTTGTTGTTCTTGTTTTTTTTGCACCCAGTAAGCTTCTGTTGGCGCCTAAAAAGCGGCAATGAACTTTCACTGTTCGGTGAATTTTTTGTTGCCACTTTTTGGGTTTTTTTTTTGCAATGCTTTGAGGCTTAACATATGACTGGTGCATATGTGTGAGTGCGGCGGGAAAGTCGGTTAAATGGAGCGGCAATTGTTTGTTTGCAAACTTTGGTTTTGCTAGCTCGGGGAACCAAAGATTTGTTTGTTCCGCCGCAGAAGTTTTCCGGCAGCTCGGCTTTGTTGATCTCAATTGAAAATGGGTGGGAAATCTTCGTAATTGCAGCAAAGAATTAATACTATAAAATTGATGAAAACGGCGCAGTTTACCAATGCTACTTCTGAGCTTCATTGAAGAGATAATTGTGTCACTTCCTGGAAATATTTAAGATTTTTTTGTTTTGATAAGATAGAGCAATTTGCTTTGAGTGGTTTGATTAGGAATTATCTATTTAATTCAATTTAAAGGAAATTCTCTGAAAGCTGTCAAGGAGCTTTGTAATTTGTATACAAGAAAAAAACTCTCGAATTACACAAAATTAATTTTGATACAATTAGAAAAAATTAATTCTAAAACAAATAAAATATAAATTTATAAGTTGCTTGATTTACTCAAAAATGTTTGATACATTTGTGTTTTATTTGCAACTTACATTATTTCTTCGACCAATTGGTCAATCTGGCCTGGCTCTAATATCCTAATCTGGGAGCGCTGATCCAAGTCCCTGGCCAGCCGATAGCCCAAAACATATTAGAGGCGAGACTGCAAGCAATTGCTTGGTTTATTTCGGCATTTGCTTGTGTATTTGTGTTGATATCATAAAAAGCAAATTTAATAAATATTTTTGGGGCTTTCAGCGGCAGCAGCAGCGGCAGGCAGTCAACCATTTCAAAAAGCAAAAACAAAAAAAAAAGAGAGGAAAAGCGGAAAAGCGGAAAGAAACATGAAACAACGGAGAGTTGGGACCGAATGGAGCGTCATATAAAATTGATGCCCCTGTCGTCTGGTGGCGCCACCTGTTCGCCCCTCTCTCTCCCACCCAATGTTGCCATCTCTTTCCAACACGCCTGGCAACAAACATACACACACACACACAGATACACACACCCAGTAAATAATGTAATAATCTGGCCGGGTCGTGGTCTCCCTGCGACGACCCATAAACCGAAATTTATGCACGAAATTCAATTATGCTTAAAATGTGGTTAATAGGCCGACTGGCGGAGGCGCCTCCAACTGGCAGCCATGGCAACACAATGGGCCACAATGGGGCACAATGGGCACCCCACGGGAAAAATACGCAATGGTTATGACCTCCCGATTCCCGGCTTTAACCTATCTAACGAAATTTATTAAATATTATACGCCCACCCCCCTTGATTCCTTCTTCTTTCCTTCCCCTGAAATTAGATATCGTTATGTTGTTATTTAATAACAAATTCAGTATTTGTTGTTACTCTTTTTATGGCCCATATGTGCGGGCCTTAACCAGAAATGGTTCTACCGACCGCCAGGAGTTTTATGGACCCCAATGAACCGGTGTGGAAATGTGTCCTTTGTTTCGCTCTTTGTTGTTCTTGTTGTTGATTCGCCTCCTCAAATGGTTTATGGTCTCGGGCGGGACACATCATATTTTCATCTCCTTTTATGATTTAGTAGCGTGTCTGTCCGAAAGTTAAAAGTGCTTTATGAGTGGGTCAGAGTATTACTTTTCAGCTCGGCCAAGGAGTGGGAGAGGAAAAGTTAATACAACTGAAATTGGGTAAATGAAAAATGCCCTATTAGTTTGGCAAAACATAAAATGAAGTGAGTAATGGGTGGGAGAACCCGAAGTTAATTTCCAGAGTATAAAAAGTAGAGTAATGTGCTTTGTTTAGGGCTCACCACTGTTGAAGTGAAATTATCCTGTAGGCCGGAGCAATAAACGAATTAACTGGGATCGAATCGGATCAAACGTGGGTATTTGTCTGCTCACTTGATGGACTTAACACTAACTCAGCTTCTGGCTTTCTACGCACTGCCCTTTAACCCTCATCCCCCGATTCCTTCATGGTCTTCACCAGTCTTTTTCCTCACAATTTAGTCCTGCAGTTGTCCTGGCTGACACTCTGGCAAACGATAACGAAACAAATCCGTGCACATGAACCGAACGCACAACTGTCCTGAATGCACGAGGAATGGACGCTTGGAAGCCATGGAGAAATTCCCGGGTAAGTGGAACAGAAAGACAAACTCAAAGTCAGCTCAAAACTTGCAAAATGATTTTAAATGACACAGGGAATGGCAGACGCAAACACACATTCGCATTCACACACACATCCACGTTCACATCCACATCCACCCACAAGTCCTTCGCTCGATCTTGTTAAGATAAAGTCGCCTTGCAAATATTAACAACAACAACAAGAACAACTATGGCGAGTCCGTACGTTGATAGAAAAAATAAATACTGAGAACAAAATGGCAACAGCAGACAAACGCAAAAACGCCGAAGAAAGAAAGGAGAAAGCGCCTGCAGGTTGTCTAGGCGGTCGAGGCTAAGACAACGGCGACACTAACACACCCACATATGTGTATGTGTGTGAACGAGCAGCCATGACCACGGCCATGTCGCGGTCACAGTGGTTATAGGTAGGGAAAAACATGTATATTTAATACTATGATATAGAATAAATAATAAAAGGTTTTAAAAAAAATAAAACATTTTATGCATTTTACGATATACTTATACTTCAACAAAGCAATTTTAATCGAACAGTTAATTACTTTGTCTTGAAGAAAAGAAAAAACTTTTTAAAATTCACATTTTACAAAACTTCAAAAAGTCAACAACTTGACCAAAAATTAAAAATAAAAACTGGTACAAATTTGAAATGCTGTTATTCACTTTTTTTTGCAAAATTGTCAGTAGGAAACCTCATACAAAAAAAAAAAAAATTTTTTTCTAGGGTAAAAATCCTAGGAAAACAGTTTTAATGACCTGTGAGTTAAATCTCATACAATTTCACACCAATATCCTCTCAATCGATTCATCCCCCATCCTTATCCACTGTGAGTTTTCGTCCTGTCGTGCCTTTATTATAACGACAACGTGAGCCATTTCCTCGCTTTGTACGGCTCCATTTTGCAGTCGCTTTTCGCTTCGTTTGTATCCCCTTGCTCATATTTTTTTTAATCTACTCACAGACATTTTTCTTTCAATGTTTGGCCCCCGCTGCCAAGTTGGAGGAACCCCTCCCCCCTCCTTTGGCCATGAAAGCCTTTTATTCCGCTCTTTTTCTATTTGTCACCCAGATAAGTGTTTTGTAGTATTTTCTAGATTTTTTGCCGTTGTTTCCTTTGATACGCCCGGCGAAGGAAATCCAAATCCGAATCTTAACTGCAATGCGCTACGTGCCTTGTGGCCCCGGCATAACCAACTGTCATGTCAGACATGTGGATGTGCCAGCAGGACCTCCTATCCTCCAATCCCCCAATCCTCCCTCCTTGTGTCCTTGTGTATCCACGGAATCAGTTGCCCAGCTGGCAGTCGGTTCCATTCAACTGGCAACTGTCTTTGCTTCCCCCCTCGAAATCTTCTCCTCCAACGATTTCGACTCCTGCAGGAGTTAAGTTGAGTTGAGATGCCGGCGAACTGCTTCAAATCTTCGGTAATAGATATCAACAACTTTTCGGAACAGGACGAACATGAGACCGCTTTCGAATCCTGCGAATCCTGCTGGCTTCTCCTGTGCGGGTTTAATAGATTGTTCTCCTCCGAGTGCGTTTCCTTTCTCCCCAAAAATGGTGGCATCCATATATGTATGTGTGTGTGAGTATGTGTATGCGTGTGTGTGTGTGGTAAATTAAAAATGAACTTTGGCAGCTCAAATTCATGGTCATGTTAACTTCTTGCTGCACTTGCTCGTGGCTGGTCAACTCAGTTCCCCATCGTTTGTCTTGTTCGTGGCCTCGAGGGTCCTGTTCCTTCTCCTTTCAACCCCCTTTGCCCCCTTAACCCCCCTTAACCCCCGCTCTATCCCCTCCCTCATCTATATCCTTGGTAAGTTAGTTACGGACTGGCTTTCGGAGACCGTATGATAAGATAAAGCTTTATTCTGTTCGCGGTTCTTTGTGACTGCTGTGTCTTCGGTTGAGCAGATTGCAGCTGTCTCCGGCATGTGAATGCATTCTGGGGTTTTTGGAATCATTCTAAGATAGCTGAATGGCTCTAGGTTGTGGCTTACTGGCCAAGGGAATCGGTTTATTTGTCATAATTGGATTATGAACTTAAGAAAGGAAGAAACTAAAAGTTATATGTGATGGTTAATTATATTATCCGTCGGTTGCTTTAATTTTGTTTCAACTTCTTTGTAAAGTTCTTAAATTCCCATTAACCCATAATGACGAAGTGCTTATTTTTCGAATCCAAAAATAGACAGATCATTATCAAGGTTCAAATTTTAGATTTCCCCATCTGAACTTGTTTTGTGGCATAGATTGTCAGATAGATTTACCATCTGTAGATAATGCCTTGGATTGGATTGCCCACTCCTAATCAACAGACACCGGCATACCGTCAGGGAATTAAGACCCTGATAAAGTAAGACTCTGATTTACGACTTGGAATGCTCGAATGGGTTCTCGATAAGATTCAGGGTTGGAAGAGCCACTTCGCTATAAAAGGCCATGGTCTCAATGAACTTGAGTTTAGTGATCGCAGTGAGAATGAATCGTTTGCTTTTGAGCGTGGTGGCGCTGGTCGCCTTGGTCTCCTGTGCCCAGGGACATCCGGACATCGACTTCCCCTTCGGAAGGATCGTGAACGGCGAGGCCGTCGAAATCGAGAGCCACCCGTACCAGGTGTCCATCCAGACGACCAAGGGCTCCCACTTCTGCGGAGGATCTCTGATCAGTTCGGATACCGTTCTGACCGCCGCTCATTGCATGCAATCCTATGCCGCCAGCGAGTTGCAAGTGCGTCTGGGATCCACCTCCAGGAGCTCCGGTGGCGAAGTGGTCACCGTGCGGGCCTTCAAGTACCACGAGGGCTACAACAGCAAGCTGATGGTGAACGATGTGGCCATCATGAAGCTGAGCACCCCCGTCCGCCAGACCAGCAAGATCCGCGCCATCGAGCTGGCCGATTCGGAAGCCGTTTCGGGAACCAATGCCGTCGTCAGTGGATGGGGCACCACCTGCTTCCTCTTCTGCTCATCCCCCGACAACCTGCTGGAGGTCGGAGTGGAGCTGCTGCACTACAAGGACTGCGCCCAGGACACCTACAACTATGGCAGTGACTCCATCCTGGAGACCATGGTCTGCGCCACCGGCGAGAAGAAGGACGCCTGCCAGGGCGACTCCGGCGGTCCGCTGGTGGCCAACGGCAAGCAGGTGGGCGTCGTCTCCTGGGGCAACGGATGCGCCTGGACCGGCTACCCGGGAGTCTATGCCGATGTCGCCTCCCTCAAGAAGTGGATCGACGAGACCTCTGCTTCCCTGTAAATTTAGTGAATAAATGCTATGGCAAGAGTTTTTTCAAAAAATTTAGAAATTGTGATTAAATGGTGTTGGGAATGATTAAATATTTGGAGTGAAAAATTAATCAAACCGAATTTAAACATCTATAAATTAACAGTTTTCTAATATCCTAAACATTGCTTCATTGGTAATCAAACAAAACACATTGAAATGATCATTTATATATTTTTCTGACAAATATTAGTTGAGTAGGGTTTCATTAGCATTCTATTATTTATATAAAGCTCAAACATATGTTATATTATCATAAGCTAACTTAGGTAAGGTATTCATCAAAAAGGAAAGGAAAACTCAACTAAATCACTCTGCTAACTTAGTATATAATCTTGCTATACTAAACCCAAAATACCTCCCTCCAATCTGAAAAGTAATTCAAGCCCCACCATCCTGTTGCTTCACAACTTTGTTCGCTGTCATCACGATTTTGGCTAGACTTGCCACACCCGAATGGAATCGGGGGACCTCGGAGACCTGCCCCAACCCGACTAGACTGGAATTTTGATGAAAAATGTATTTAGATGCTATGATAAAATTTAGTATACGACTGCGACAGAGGCCATGCAAATACGAGTAAAACTCTCGACTCGAAAAGCAATTCGTGTTGCCGCCCACTTTGTTTATCCGCCTTCGTTGGAATTTTATTGCCTGGCTAGATCTTTGGTTTTCGGTTTTTGGGGGCGTAACCACTGCTTGTTTTCTATAAAGCTGTTAAATACTTAAGTGTAATTTATGGCATGCGATATTATTCGGTTGTGTGTTGTCATGTTTGCTAAAAGTTTTACATATGCCAAACCCAAACTTAAACGACCGAGGATAAGCCCACGTAAAAGGCAAAGGGAGACTCCCGAGTCCTGAGTCCTGAGTCCTTAGCCCTTAAGTTGTATGCCCAAGTATCTTGGTAAGTGAGTAATATGTTGGGACGTCAACAGACTTACACGAATTTCTTATGAAATTGTTGTGGCCACCAAGCCCGAATGGCCAAGTTTGTCAACTCTCACTTGGTGCAGAGTTCTTTGCATATTTTCGGGCGTTTCTCTGGGCGGTTTGTTTTGCTTGAAAGGCAGCCAGCCAGCCAGTCTATTATCACTTAATAAATGAGCAGTTTATAAATAGCAAGTTATTTTGCTGTCATGTCGTGGCATGTAAGGATAACCAAACAAGGATACCAGCACAGATTGACATCTTGAAAGGGCAATATTCAAAGACTAGACAGGAAAGTTATTAAATAATAAAAGGAGCTTTTGAGATAATATCTGGGCAATAAAAGTGCAATGAATTGATGATATAAAATGGATTTATGGCAGCATACTTAAAAAGTGTTAACAATTAAATCTTTATTGCCTTCTTCTGGTTATAGTGGATTTTTTTTACTCTTAGGGAACCAATAAAGAATCACTCGATGCATTTTTTGGCTGCCTCTCCTCAAAAAAACCCCATATTTCATATACTGAACCACCCAATCAACGTACCAGACTTGCCAGACTTCGTATATCATATCACCGAAAACACCCAACTATGAAAAATGCCAAAAATAGCTCACATTGTGCCCCGGCAATTGACCCGTGCTTCGTTATATGGAGACTACGGACTGCAGCTACATCGTTTAATCCAAGTTGGCGGCTGTGGAGAATCCAGAGGGTAGAAGGGTAAAAGGAGGAGGGGTTGGGGTTCCAGGTCGGCCGGGTTAGTTGGCAGTTATGATGCCCGGCAGCCGGCAAGCATCAAGCATCCTAGTCATCGAGACAGGTGTAAAATTATATGCCAGCCGTGTGGCATAGCACAAATCGCTGACGTCCTGCATGGATTTCCGTTACACGGACACTCACTCTGTACTTACGTATGTGTGTGTGAGTGTGTGTGCGCTTCAATTTCAAAAGATAACAATTTTAATTACAACGTTTTGCGCAATATTGGCAACCGCAGCAGTCTGGGCACTTGGGCGACTGCCTGCCACATAGTCGAAAATTTAACCACTGAATGCTTGACTTTGTGACTATATAAACTCTGGAATAAAAGAATTATTAAGGGTGATGGATTCGAAACACAAAGAAATATTTATTTTCCTTAAAAAATGGTATACATTAATATTACAATTATTCTGGCGTAAAGAAAACTTTTAATCAGTTTATTAAGCATATTTTCTTTTGAAATTTTCTCCCAAACCAATTTGTAAATTCTTCCTGCATCTGCAGAAGCACTCAGAATTCGCCCCACAAAGTTCGCTTAATTAAATTTAACCGAAATTAAAAAAGAAGTAATCAGCGATGATGCATTTCAGTTCGAGCAGGGATGAAAACCAAATGAGCCGTGCTGCGATGGAAGACTGAGACTCCTGTGGCAATGAACAATGGGATCCAACTGCTCGACAGGTGGCAGCTTCATCGCATCGCATTGCATCGCATTGGATCCCAAAGTGTTGGATGGCAGGTTCTACTTCGGATGGCCTCTAGCCAGGATCTGACAGGCAGCCTTATTACGAGCGCTTTTTAAGTATAAACATCTCACATTCTCATGTGTTTATGACATAATGACAGCCAGCTCCGAACCCATACCATACGAGTATATATACTCCGCATATTACACATACGCCGTGTTGCCGACGGCAGGCCACGAGCAGACCAGTCTGCAACCGAGTTACTTTCTGACAGTTATGAGCGGGATTCAAATGTAATCAGCCACTCTTAACTCTCGACCGCCCGTCGCCATTTTAAAGCGTCCTTCGAACCGGTTTACGAGGATCTCAGCCAAGCCCAAAAGTTCCGATTCTCAAAGTGCCAGACAGCGGACTTAGTAATAAAAATTCAACCTCGGGCGAAGTCTCCACGTCACTTTTTGATTTCTTACTTTTTTTCCATTTTATTCTGCATAATATAATAATAATTTATGCCCGTCTGGCTGAGTGGCAGATAAAGAGGGAGAAATTGTGTCAACTTGGCCGCTGATTGCGTCAGTTTATTAGGGTGGCTAAAAAAGTTTTAGTTATTTAGGGAAAACCAAGAGTTACCATAATTTATACGATTTTATATGCCTTAAATTAAACATGCTTTCGTAGTAATTATGTCTCATAATCAAACAAATCATTTAAGTGAGTTTATTGACTTTCATCCGATTTAAAGTTAACAGTTTTCCAGCGCTTTTCCGCAATCTTTTAATCCTCGCCCACAGAGTACACACTCCCATCATATTTTTTATAGTTTGTTTGCATTGGACTTTGCGCCGAATGTGTGTGGATCTACCATATATGACATCGTCAATCATATTTAAATTAATTAAGTTAAGTTAGCGCTGATGTGAAGTTGTGGACTTTCGCCGGTTTGGCTCTTGACTGAGCGCAAATTGAATTAAGTTGATCGGAGTAAATAGTGAACTCGAAGCCATGCCTGCCAATTAAGCCACGCCCATCTCATATTTAATTAATTAATTCACGCGACCGAGGCACACATTCGCACTGGCACACTCGCCCACGTAAATATACGTACACGCATTTAAATGTCAAGCGAAAAAAGTTTTTCAAGTGCTTGTCAAACTTTAGAGTACAAACAACAACTAATTAAAAAAAAGGAGAATCAGCAATTGCAGATTGCAACATTTTAAAGTGCCTGCAAGTAGCTTTTCACATAGAATTATTTTGTATCACAAACATTTGAGTGGTTGAGCTTGAATTTCATAAAGGAAAAGAGATTTTTAATGGTAATTTTAAACTGCTTTAAAACAAATGCATAACTGAATTGAGATTTCGGTTTGAAATTAATCTGTAAGAATTAAATGTTTGTGGTATTAAATCAGTGATTGGAATTTATCAAAGTTAAAGAAGAAATCAACTAACGATTTTCTTGCTTTTATAAAATTCTAGAAATTCTTAATATCCATTTTGGCCAAACCGAATGTTTTGTGCTCGGGCTTTCGTTTTCAAATTTGGGTTTATTGCAAGTGGGCGGACATTTGGAGGAGGTGCGGCCAGATTCTCCTGCCGCAAAGTCAACCCGGCTCAGCCACTCATTACTCATTTGCCATAAGTTTTCCTCGACTTTTCATATTTTCTAAAATGCAGTCGCACACACACACACGGCGGCACACTCATTATGCGCTTTTCCAGGCCATATTGATTTCGCTCGAGCACTAAGTGCAAGTGGATTGGGGATTGTGGATTGGGGTGGACCAAAAAAAGCAGCAAAACCAGGGCCAGACAACAAATCGGTAGCTATAAATTCTGCACTTAAAAACTTTTCAACAGTTTTTGGTTGTTGTTATTTCAGCTCGAGTTTTTGCACAATCATTTTTTCCAGCGGTTTGGATAGGTAGGCCTTTTATGGTAATCCGCATCGTAATTTTCCCTTTTCGGGAAATTTTTTGTGAAACATTATTTTCGGTTAAAATGTAATTTATTTTCGTAGATTGTTTTGCTTGACTTTTCTTATCTGCAGAGTTTATTTGGCTTGACATACTTGTTACTCCTTAAAAAAAATGAAAAAATGGGGGCGTGGTCTACTACATGTGTTTTTGGCTAGGAGAAAGCCCCCATTTCACCAAAACCAACGCCACAACAAGTGGCTGTAAAAGGCCTTGGAATTGTTCGGTTTCAAACGAATGAAGTTGAATGGGAAATGTTTCCACAGAAGTTTTCTCTCATTTTGTTTGCCCACTTCTTTTTTTCTGCTTTTTTTTTGTAACAACTTTTTGGTTTTTTGAAAAGAGGGAACGACATTTCTGGGGAGGTCGGCGGAGGGTGAGTTGTCGTCCTGCAAGGCGGTGAAGTGAACAAGTGTAGGGAATGATTGGGGTCAATGGTTCGTGAGTCTGCAAAGGCTTGGCTAATTTTTCCCTCTTTAAGCCAACATAGAAATTGCTTCGCCCCACAATAAATATTTCAATTGATGCTCGTATGAAAGTGCTGCAATTACCAATCGATATTTAACGTAATAACCATGTACCTATGATAATGCATTTCTAAAGCAGAGCTGATGAATAAAACAACGCTTGATTGGTTGTTCTGGCCCCATTTTAT